CTACCCTGGAAAGAATGTGGTCGAGGAAACTGACGAAAAAATGCATGGGACCCTATCGCGTGGTCAAAAGATTGGAAGGAGGAACTTACTTACTTGAGGAACTAGACGGGGCTAGGTGGAAAGAGCTGGTATCCAGAGCCCGTTTAAAGGCGTTTAGGAACCGAGTGGGAGCCCTCCCTAACTTGAAGAAAGACAAGGCGAAGGAGATGGTCAAGAATAAGTCAGTAGAGCCAGCGACAGAACCCTCAACAAAACCTAAATCATCTACTTACGAAAAAGGAGAAAGCTCCAAAAAACCTACGAAGAAGAGACGAGAAAGGATCTTAGGCGTCAAAAATAGCCAGAGGAAAGACATGAAGAAAGAAAAAAATAAAGGTCTTAGAGTCGGCCGCGCTAAGGAGAGAGAAGAAACGCAAGGCTAGAGAGGCCGTTAAAGGTGCAATAGTCATAGGCAAGGGCAAGGATAAGCATCGCCATGAAAAGAGACGACAGAAGGTTGAGAAACGATTAGGGGTCAAAAGGGAGATGATTAGGAAAAAGCGAAGCGAGAGAAAAAAACGAGAGAAAAGGACCCGAAGAAAGTGGTGAAGAAGGATTTTGGGTTGATGGGTAGAGATTATGACTCAAACCTTTTTTCCTTTCCTTGATACTCCAAGATGGCTCGCCGGGGACGTTGAGAATGGGGGGGGGGGCTGCTGTCGGGCGGCTCTAGCCTTACGTCGCCTTTTACTTCCTTGGTGATTACACTCGACGGGTACCGGATCTACCTGTTCTACCGGGTGGGACCGTGGCCGACATTGAGGGACTGTGATATCAAGTTCATGCCATGGGCATCAGGACCAACACGTCAGGAAAAGGGTGGACCACAAAGATATGAGTGAACATTCCTTCATGGACACTGTGGAGGCCATTGCGGTCAAGATATAAAAGCACGACGACCGCGAAGGAAACGCCAGAGGCTCCGGATGAGGGACGAGAACGGGAAGACCGAATTTGCATTGAGTGTTGGGCGATGGGTCAAACGAGAGAGGGCGCAAGGCTCTTGAGACGGACCCTCATGCGGACTAAGTGACAATAGCACCAAAGTTCATCGCAAGATCAATGCAAAGGGGAATTGTTGTGCGAGGACGCTTAGTAGAGCCTTGACACTCGGGCCCTAAGTAGAGCTAAAAGGAGAACCTACGGGGCCGGAGGCTGAGAAGAGGGTCCTCAAGCTGTGGGACTTATTCCTAGGGTCCGGCCCCTGTGAAATCTGGCAAGGCCCTGGTATTTTTTTGCGAGGGGACCAAGAGAGCCTGGGTAGGCTCGGGCCTAGGTTCGGAAAGAGCCTCGGTACCAGGGTGCTGTAAAGGGCCCGATACCCGACAAAAGACTCCCTTCACTAAAAACCCTTTGGGGGCCCAAACAGGCCCGGACATAGGCTCGGGGGAGCCATGGTACCGGGGCGCTGCAACTTGTCGGCAGCTTCGCAACATGCAAAGGCTGAGGTACACTCCAAAAGGGGCCCCGACAAAGTATGAAAGCCCAACCGGGCCAAGTCTCGAGGGACTTCCAACATGCGCACTTATGAGCGTACTACGAGAGCTCGAAAGTGAGAGTTGGAGCTGACTTCGGGAGGCGCACGGAGCGCGCAAGGTAGGGATCGGGTGTGCACAACCGCGCACACCTCCGCGCACACGCACACGGTCAGGGTAGGAGGACGCGCAATCGTGTGGACACACGCGTACACGCCCAAGGTCAGGGTCGGAGAGAGCTTCGTGCACATCAGCGCGTGTCCGCCCACAATCGTGATCGGAGCACGAAGGGTAGCTGCGCGCATTAGCGCGCACCTATGCACGATCAGGTCGGGACGCGGAGTGACCGCACGCACACTGCACGCCAAGGTGGGGAGCCACGCGAGGTAGGGCGCGCAAGTGCGTGCGTGTGCACACACTGCGAGCAGCCGTGCGCACGCCAGTGCAACTTGTGCACACACATTGCAAGCACGAACCAGACGAAGCGATGCGACCTGGGCACAAAATGGGACATCCGGTGGACAGCGACTTCGGGCTCAGATCGGGACATCGGACACAGATAGGGCCTTTTGGGCACTGACCGTGACTTTGGGCTTAGATCGGGACATCGGACACAGACAGGGTCTTTTGGGCACTGACCTCGACCTCGGGCCCATATTGAAACAATTGGCCACGGAACCGGTTGGACGCAAGTCATTTTTTTTTACATAGAACAGGGCCCTTGGGCACAGACTGGGACTTTGGGGCAGAACGGACCTCTGAATCAGGCCAGAACCTCCAACTCAGGTCGAAACTTTGGACTCAACCTGGGATTTCAGACTCAGCCCGGGACTTAGGACTCAGACCGGATGTCAGACCCAGATCAGGCTACGGACTTAGGCCTGGGTTTGGGCATGGATCGGGGCTAACGGTGTGACCTGAGACACAAGAGCCAACGTGTGGCATTTGGGCACGTCGGGACCCAACGATTGGACCAGGACCGAGTGTTTCAGCAATCGGACCTGAGTTTTCGTGATTTGACAAGTGAGGGCCACGTAACCGACATAAGCAGACGGGACCTTGAACACGGGTCGGGACTTCAAACACGAAGCCTAGGCCAGGCCCTAGATGCGGCCCCAGCGAGGGCAACGAGAGGGGTGACGCGGAACGAATCCGAGACCTCAATCGAGGAGGACGGTGGCGCGAACAGACATATGGCGAAACTCGATCTTAAGTTGTGGCCTCAGTGGGCCGGAGACTCCAGTTCTGACACTGAGAGTTCTAGTGCGGTTCCATGGGACCAGCGGACACGATACCTGCGACACCCAATAGGAAGAAGGATTCGTTGTAGGCTGCTTGTGCGGTCAGTCAGAACTCAAATAGATTTTCCTGATACAGACATTATGCCCGTTTTTGAGACTGGATGCAGTGTAGCAGACCCCATTGTCTTGGATGAGTGAAATGTTTCATTTGTTCCTTCCAGCGACTCGTCTTTTGGTTTTGTGGCTTTGCAGTTTTCACTTGTTGTGCTGACTCGTTTCCGTTGTCACGACAAACCAGATCTCTCCACAGGTTACAGGAGCCCCGAGCGACCCTCCCGTGGGTGACAGACGTGGCGCGAGATACAGGGTCGGTCAGCGTGCCGACAGATCACTTCTACCGGTCGACACCGTTAAGGCATCACAAGTTTCACGGACCGGCCTACTGGGGCAAAATAATTGGCAGCGCCAGTCAAAGGAGATCAATGGTGGTTCAATTTTTCTTTGGTGCTCATGACGTTTTAAGCTTCAAAAATGAGAGACTCGAAAGTATTGATCATTTAAGATATTTCCACTTCATTTAGGAAAAAGAAGGGTATTTCCTTTTATTTATTCCATTTTGCCTTCGTTTAGCCATCTGTCTTTAAAAATGTTTTCTCCAAACTATTTTGTATTGATCATTCAACGCTTTTCTCCATCTTTTGTAATTGAAACTTCCATTGTCCCCCAAATTTATGTTTCCATCATGTCCCTAACATTTGCCCATGTTTCCTGGAAGCACAATATTGTATTTCCCAACGCTTGCCTGTATCCGGCTTTTCATATAGCGAAAATATTTGTTCTCCTAAACAAATCCACTATGCCTCAATGCTAAGAAAAAATTATATCTATTCTGTCTTTGGCTGTGCAGATGAAGAAATAACCATGTGGAAAGCGGAGAATCCTCAACTCAGAGATTCTTTGTCTGATCGTGACCTACCCATCCATTCACGGTAAAGCGGTAGCCCCTATTCACTGTGTATTCCCTTGTTCGAGCCTCTATATCTGTCTTTGACCCACCCATTCATTCATTGAAATTTTGCATGTATTTATGAGTCCGCTTTTTTATTGCCTGAATTGGGTCCATCAAGTTATTTGTCAAGTGGTAACTCCTATCCACCCTGTATTCCCTTATCATTACACGTCGACTAGGCCCCTTGTTTTGGATGGTATGGACCACACCCACTCTGCTGGGTTAAACTACATGTCCTTTATATTGCAAGGAAAATGAGCAATAGCGAACTCCAGCAATCAAACAACATCATACATATGAGTCCAGATAGTCTTGACCTCGTACCAACAGCAGATATGCATCACGAGATACACCAAATAAGAACACASCAAGAGTTCATAATTGACAATGCTAAAGTAGTCCCATCATCATCAACGAAGAACCAGAGTTGATATCCTAT